GCACGAAAATAAAAATTTATTTTTTTTAAAAAAAAAAAACCATTTTTTATAAAATATGCGGATACTCAATACAGCGAAAACAAAATTTTTATTAATTTTTGTGATCATATTATGCTCATATACATTATACACAACAGCAGTAATAAGAGAATTTTCACATAAAGAAGAAATAGATTATGGACAAGTATTACCTCGTATATGGGATTCAAAAGCATATGATGATGGTACGATGGTAATAAGAATAATTAGAAAAAATGCAACAACGTCAATTAATAATTATCTTTGTTTCTATGAAGTGCTTTCATTAAGAATTATTAATCTTGACGGAACAGTGGTAGAAAAGAATTTAAAGTTAAATATTCAATCATTTAATTATTGTGTTTTTCAAATGGTCAGTGGTGGTGAATGGGGTGAATGGATGGAATTTTTGAAATATTTTTTAATCAAAAAGAATCAAATTTTAATTACTTATTATAACGCAACAGATTTTAAAGATCCTTCTACATATGTCGAATGGGGAATGGTAATGGATTTTGATGGTAATATATCAAGTCGATCATCTATTGGAAAACCATTTATTGATAATAATTTACAATTAGCTATACCGAATTATCAAATAGTACTTAATATTAATAGAGAAAAAGGATTTATGAGATATGTTAGAAATAATAAAACAAACCATATGGATTGGAAACAATTTAGAATTGAACCTGATGGAGCAATTACAGAGTTAACTTCTGGAGGACTTGTTCTTTATGGTGAAGTAGGTGTATTTGTAGGTATACATACAGTTAATGAAGGTTACGCATTTATTTTCTCAAATAGTACTTTAAATGCAACTAACCCATTATCACCAAGAGGTCAAGTATCCATTTTACCTATTGGATATAATCAAAATCCTAGTCCCTCTTTATTAATTTATCAAACTACTACTCCAAATTTAAATTTTACTTTTTTATTTTGCGATATCGCATTTTTTGAAGTTGGTCATGTTTGTATTTTAACTATTTCACAAACAGTTCCTACTGGAACTTCGCCATCTGAATCTTTTTATATTAAAATTAATTTCTTATCTTCTGGTTCTGTTTTATCTTTTCAATCTCAAGCTAATAGTTTAATTTTACCTAACGTAAATCCAAATCCAAATTTGGTTTGGGCTGTAAATAGTTTAACATTTGGTGGTTACCTTTTAACAAATATTGTTCCTACTGGTCCAGATCAACATTTTATTTATGGATTTTTAATTGATGAATATAATTCTGTTCTTATTCCTTGGGAATTTCACAACCCTGTACCTTTGGGAATAAAAGGTGTATATCAAATATTACGCAATAATACTCTTTTAGTTTCTCAATTGGAAACAGAGTACTATTATTGGCGATTTCAAGTAATTGATTTACCAAAATTTAATGGAAATAAGGATAAAGGTTATTTAAATTTCAATAATTTCAACGTGGAATCAACTGATCCTACCATTAATTCTACAATAAGTCCAGATATACAAAATGTTAAAATTAATTTTTATGGTCCAGTAGAATTATCTGATGGTAATTTAACTATTTATCAATTAATTGATAATCAACCTTATTTACGTCAATACATTACTAAATCATCATGTACGTTAAGTATTGATGGTAAAACCATTATTGCAAAAATATTAGATAGTACTTTTAGTGTATCTGGTGGAATTTATTATATTAAGATGGACAATAATTTTGTTAGAGATAAGACATATAAAGAATTTCTATTAGGTATAAGAGATAATATTTGGAATTTTAATGTAAAACAAAAGGAAGTTCCTTTTGCACCTTCAATGAACGGTTTATTACGTTTGACTCCTGAAGGTACAAAATATTTTGATAGTTTACCTCAGGAACAACGATCCAATTTCTTTAATATTTTATTAAATGATTTATCTAATGCTATTCCCGTATCTCGTTCACGACTTACTAGTAATGAAAAAACTCAATTAGATCTTAGTAGTGTAAATGAAAAACAGTATTTAATTTCTATTGGTGTTGAAGAAACTAGGGTTGATAATGATATAAGTGTTGCGACCGTTGTTAATAATACTAATACTATGGTTAAAAGTAAAGATCTAACTCTAATTAATAATGGCCAGGCATCTAAATACTTGGACCAATCATATGGTTTCATTCCTACACGTAAGTATCATATGAGAAAAAAGTTTTATATCTTTAATTTATATATGCTAATTTTATTAATTATACATATATTTTTTTATATATAATAAGTGGATTTTTGGGAAACATATAAGTACAAATTATTAGCCATATTATTAATTATTGGACTTTTGATTATTTTATTCTTTTTGGCTCGAAGAAGGAATAGCAATGTAAATTATCTTAAAGACTTTGATTTTATAATCACATTAAATCATATAAATTAATATATTGATATAATTTTTCTTTTTTAGGGTAATAATATTGCTATTTTACAACTTGGTTTAATTATTTTTGATTTGGTTATTGATATTACTTTTGTAAATTATAATGCTAAAGACGTTCCTGTTCTTTATTTTCCAAGGTATGATAATTTTAATTTTCATTTACTCTTTTTTCATTAATTTATGTAATTGTATAATTACTGATTTTATTTGTTTCATTTTTTTTCATTTTTTTTTTGAAAGTATTGTATTTGTAACAGTACCAATAGGAATAAATACCATATTAGCTTTTTATCTTATAACACAAGAAAATAAAAGACAAAAATTTCTTGAATGGTTTATGACTCATAGAAAAGTTGCAAGCATATTTACTATATTAGCTAGTACTGATATTGAAGCATTAAGTATTTTATATTCAAATTTAGCTGGTTTTTCATCTTTTAACGCTCCTTTTTCTGATGATGCTAAATCAAAAATATTTTGGGGTGCTTGCTTAAACATTTTTATTGAAGATATTCCTCAAGCAATCATTCAGGTAGGAATTTTTTTAAAAAAAATCAATAATATTATTTTAAAAGTTTTACTAATAATCTATTTTTTTTTTTTTTCTCATTATATTAATTATAAGATTTTATATAAACATTATACTATAACTTATGATATTATTCCCTTACTTACATTAATTTCTTCAGTTGTAAATTTAACAATAAATATAATAGGTAGGATATACCAAGCAACAATCCATTTAAGAAATTCAAAACATTCACAAGTCTAATGATAATGATATGAATGATTTGGATATATCTATTAATATTTTAATTCAAATAGAAACATTATTTAAATAAATTAAAAATTTTTATCTGAATTATTCAATTTAGATAAAAATCTGAAATATATTTGGATAAAAATAAGATAATATATATAAAAATTAACTTTTATAAATTGATCTTAATAAATAAAATATATAATATTTATTTGATTAAATTGATGACATTATTTAATTAAAATTACAATATTTATTTAATTAAATAAAGCTTAAGTAAAGTTGGGATTACTGTGCCGCGCGCGGTTTTTTTTTCACTTTACACTTTACTCAGATATTAAATTTTATCAAGTCAGCTCGAATATTAATGTAGTAATTAGTATTTTTTATAATGGTGTATTTGAAATTATTTTAATTTTAATAATAGTGTAAAGTGCTAAAAAGTTCTCTTTTAAATGTGCTTATTATTTTATATGATGTTTTAAGGATTTTATTTTCTTTTTTCTTTTTTGTCTTATTTTTTTCTTTTATTTTCTTTATCACGCACGAAATCAATCGCATGACAAGGCGAAAGCATTGTGTAGGATTTTGTGGGTTCTTACGTAATCAACGATATAAAAAATTCATTTTCTTTATTATGCGCAAAATTGGTCATGTGACAATAAAGAATGTTACCACCGATTTTAGACGATTGGATAGGCAGAAAAATAAATAAGGATCGGTTAACAATCGATAAAGTAATATGATGTTTACAGCAAAATTCAAAATATACGGGACACTTGAGAAATTTGATTGTCGGGTTACTCGGCAGTAGGTTATTTATTAGGAAAGTATAAATAACACGTGACATGAGTATAATAGTAGTATATCAGATTATATAATAACCTACTGCCGAGTAACCCGGCTACCCGACAACCCGATAATTAAATTTCTCAAGTGTCCCGTATATTTTGAATTTTGCTGTAATAACAAATGATAAGGTAATTTAGAATGTATATATGAAAATAGTGTAATAAATAGGGATGTTAAATATGCTTAAGTAGCTCGGAAGTAGTTTATTGAAAATTGTATCATTTTCTCTTATGGGTATGGTATATAAATGGACGTGAATTTATGATGTAATGCCGACCAGTATTTTATTAGATTTTAATTCTGACCATTTACCGATCGGATAATTTTGTCCAGTTTGCAGTAAGCCACTTCCAATCTATCTTAGCCACCCATTATCTAAGCCTCTGATATCCGTCTATATGTCCAATAAAATAAACTATAAACTATATAAAAAAAAATAAACTATAGATATAACCTAAAACTAAAAATAACCTATATGATAAACAAACAAACAACAAATAATTTCTTATTTAGTAGTATCGGATTTTTTTCGGAAAAGGCACATATTTTGCATATGAATTTATAATATAATTTTAGTTTATTGCATCTAATGATTCAATTTTAAAAACTAATTAAGATCTATAATAAATTTTTTGATTCACAGTTTTGACATTTATCTTTTTTATTAATTAAAAATTTTTAAAAATTGTATTAAAAATTTCTGAAACCTAATATTTATTATTTAATATCTTAAACGATATAAAGGTTTTCAATAACTGAATAGATAATCATTTTAGGAATTTTCCAAATTTGGTAATTTCCCGGACTGAAATTAGTTAATATCCGCGCCACTTTTGACCGGTTTTTACTTTTTACCGGGTTTTTCTTACATACATCTATGTCTAACTATCACTTATTTAATATTATAAATATAAGTGAATTGCGCACAAAATAATTTTTTTTTTTTTTAAAAAAAAAAAAAACCATTTTTTATAAAAAATGCGGATACTCAATTCAGCGAAAACAAAATTTTTATTAATTTTTGTGATCATATTATATTCATATACATTATACACAACAGCAGTAATAAGAGAATTTTCACATAAAGAAGAAATAGATCATGGAAAAGTATTACCTCGTATATGGGTTTCAAAAGCATATGATGATGGTATAATGGTAATAAGAATAATTAGAAAAAATGCAACAACATCAATTAATAATTATCTTTGTTTCTATGAAATGTTTTCATTAAGAATTATTAATCTTGACGGAACAGTGGTAGAAAAGAATTTAAAGTTAGATATTCAACCACTTAATTATTGTGTTTTTCAAATGATCAGTGGTGGTAAATGGATGGAATTTTTGAAATATTTTTTAATCAGAAAGAATCAAATTTTAATTACTTATTATAATGCAACAGATGTTAATGATCCTTCTACATATGTCGAATGGGGAATGGTAATGGATTTTGATGGTAATATATCAAGTCGATCATCTATTGGAAAACCATTTATTGATAATAATTTACAATTAGCTATACCGAATTATCAAATAGTACTTAATATTAATAGAGAAAAAGGATTTATGAGATATGCTAGAAATCAAAATAACAATTTGGATTGGAAACAATTTAGAATTGAACCTAATGGAGCAATTACAGAGTTAACTTCTGGAGAATTTGTTTTTTATGGTGAAGAAGGTGTATCAGTTGTAGTTATACATACAGTTGATGAAGGTTACGCTATTGTTTTCTCAAATAATACTTTAAATGCAACTAACCCATTATCACCAAAAGGTCAAGTTTCCATTTTACCTATTGGGTATAATCAAAATCCTAGTCCCTCTTTATTAATTTATCAAACTACTGCTCCAAATTTAATTTTTACTTTTTTGTTTTGCAATATCGCATTTTTTGAAGTTGGCCATGTTTGTATTTTAACTATTTTACAATTAGATCCTACTGGAACTTTGCCACCTGAATCTTTTTATATTAAAATTAATTTCTTAACTTCTGGTTCTGTTTTATCTTTTCAATCTCAAGTTTTACCTAACGTAAATCCAAATCCAAATTTGGTTTGGATTGTAAATAGTTTAACATTTGGTGGTTTCATTTTAACAAAATTTGTTCCTACTAGTCCAAATCAATTTTTTATTTATGGATTTTTAATTGATGGATATAATTCTGCTCTTATTAAGTGGGAATTTCCCGAACCTGAACCTATAGGAATAAAAGGTGTATATCAAATATTATATAATAATACTCTCTTAGTTTCTCAATTAGAAACAGATAATTCTTGGCGATTTCAAGTAATTGATTTACCAAAATTTAATGGAAATAAGGATAAAGGTTATTTTAATTTCGATAATTTCAACGTGGAATCAACTGATCCTGCCATTAATTCTACGATAAGTCCAGATATACAAAATGTTAAAATTAATTTTTATGATCCAGTAGAATTATCTGATGGTAATTTAACTATTTATCAATTAATTGATAATCAACCTTATTTACGTCAATACATTACTAAATCATCATGTACGTTAAGTATTGATGGTAAAACCATTATTGCAAAAATATTAGATAGTACTTTTAGTGTATCTGGTGGAATTTATTATATTAAGATGGACAATAATTTTGTTAGAGATAAGACATATAAAGAATTTCTATTAGGTATAAGAGATAATATTTGGAATTTTAATGTAAAACAAAAGGAAGTTCCTTTTGCACCTTCAATGAACGGTTTATTACGTTTGACTCCTGAAGGTACAAAATATTTTGATAGTTTACCTCAGGAACAACGATCCAATTTCTTTAATATTTTATTAAATGATTTATCTAATGCTATTCCCGTATCTCGTTCACGACTTACTAGTAATGAAAAAACTCAATTAGATCTTAGTAGTGTAAATGAAAAACAGTATTTAATTTCTATTGGTGTTGAAGAAACTAGGGTTGATAATGATATAAGTGTTGCGACCGTTGTTAATAATACTAATACTATGGTTAAAAGTAAAGATCTAACTCTAATTAATAATGGCCAGGCATCTAAATACTTGGACCAATCATATGGTTTCATTCCTACACGTAAGTATCATATGAGAAAAAAGTTTTATATCTTTAATTTATATATGCTAATTTTATTAATTATACATATATTTTTTTATATATAATAAGTGGATTTTTGGGAAACATATAAGTACAAATTATTAGCCATATTATTAATTATTGGACTTTTGATTATTTTATTCTTTTTGGCTCGAAGAAGGAATAGCAATGTAAATTATCTTAAAGACTTTGATTTTATAATCACATTAAATTATATAAATAAATATATTGATATAATTTTTCTTTTTTAGGGTAATAATATTGCTATTTTACAACTTGGTTTAATTATTTTTGATTTGGTTATTGATATTACTTTTGTAAACAATAATGCTAAAGACGTTCCTGTTCTTTATTATCCAAGGTATGATAGTTTTGTAATTTTCATTTACTCCTTATTCATTAATTTATGTAATTGTACTATAATTACTGATTTTATTTGTTTCATTTTTTTTTTCATTTTTTTTGAAAGTATTGTATTTGTAACAGTACCAATAGGAATAAATACTATATTAGCTTTTTATCTTATAACACAAGAAAATAAAAGACCAGAATTTCTTGAATGGTTTACGGCCCATGGAAAAGTTGCAAGCATATTTACTATATTAGCTAGTACTGATATTGAAGCATTAAGTATTTTACATTCAAATTTAGCTGGGTTTTCATCTTTTAACGCTCCTTTTTCTGATGATGCTAAATCAAAAATATTTTGGGGTGCTTGTTTAAACATTTTTATTGAAGATATTCCTCAAGTAATCATTCAGGTAGGAACGTTTTTTTAATCAATAATATTATTTTAAAAGTTATACTAATAATATATTTCATTTTTTTTCTCTTTATATTAATTATAGATTTTATATAAACTTTATACTGTATCTTATGATATTATTCCCTTACTTACATTAATTTCTTCAGTTGTAAATTTAACAATAAATATAATAGGTAGATTATATCAAGCAACAATCCATTTAAGAAATTCAAAACATTCACAAGTCTAATGATAATGATATGAATGATTTGGATATATCTATTAATATTTTAATTCAAATAGAAACATTATTTAAATAAATTAAAAATTTTTATCTGAATTATTCAATTTAGATAAAAATCTGAAATATATTTGGATAAAAATAAGATAATATATATAAAAATTAACTTTTATAAATTGATCTTAATAAATAAAATATATAATATTTATTTGATTAAATTGATGACATTATTTAATTAAAATTACAATATTTATTTAATTAAATAAAATTTATTTAAGTTAAATTAAATTATAATTTTATCTATGCTTAAATATTCGCAAATAATAATATTTTTTTTTTAATGAAATTACTGTGTTGCATTTGTTTTTTTTAACTTTATAGTGTTATTTCAGTACTTTAGCCAAATGACATAGGTCTAGAAAGCTTAAGTAAAGTTGGGATTACTGTGCCGCGCGCGGTTTTTTTTTCATTTTACACTTTACAGCGTACTTTTGTTAAATAAAATAAACCTTTGGGGGTTAGATAAAGTCATTTAGCAGGTATAGAATTACTCAGATATTAAATTTTATCAAGTCAGCTTGAATATTAATGGAGTAATTAGTAATTTTTATAATGGTGTATTTGAAAATTATTTTAATTTTAATAATAGTGTAAAGTGCCAAAAAGTTCTCTTTTAAATGTGCTTATTTTAAAAATAGTAAAATAATTTTATTCTTCTTCTTTTGTCTAATTTTTTTCTTTTATTTTCTTTATCACGCACGAAATCAATCGCATGACAAGGCGAAAGCATTGTGTAGTTCCGAACCTAAAACATCATTTTCTTGTTCATTGGCATCGGATTTACTAGTAAATTTCAATTTCAGGACAGATTATTATGTGGGTCTTTATGTATATTCCGGCCCTAAAATAACATTTTTATATTGATTTGGCATCAATTGCAGGATTTATTATGTGGGTTCTTACGTAATCAACGATATAAAAAAATTCATTTTCTGCAAAATTGGTCACGTGACAATAAAGAAAGTGTTAGTGTGTTGCCACCGATTTTAGACGATTGGATAGGTAGCAGAAAAATAAATAAGGATCGGTTAACAATCGATAAAATAATATGATGTTTAATAACAAATGGTAAGGTAATTTAGAATGTATGTATGAAAATAGTGGACAATAAGTAGCTATGCCGACCAGTATTTTATTAGATTTTAATTCTGACCAAAAGTACATCATAATGCTGGTACGGTGACCATCACCACTGGTGAACTTTAGCAATACTCTTCTCTTATTAAAATATTAGTATATAACTGATATATTGTTAGTTGTTAGGAACCGGGTTCGAAATCGGTTCGGTTCTAAAGTAATTTGAAGCAATTACACATTTTGGATATCATTTTTTCTTTATTGACAATTAATTAAATTTATTGGCATCAATTTTTTAGGTAAAGTTACTTATTGTAGTAAAGTAATTCGACTCATCTGTATTTAATAATTTCAAAAATTGTTCAAATCCTTCCGAACTACTACTAACATCCTTAGTTATGAATCATATAAAAATAAGCAAACAATGTATAGCGAAAGGTCAATAAATGATAATGAACAATGCGATAAAATAAGATAGATATTTATTATGAGAAATCGGAAACAATCAAACAAATCGGCAGGGTTTATTTATTCACAAATAAAATATAATATTATTGCCTCTATCGACGCTTTGTAATATTCGTATATCTATTTCTATATTAAATAAAACCAATTTTGCCACCCGGCTGGGCAAATTTACCGATCGGACAATTTTGTCCAGTTACAGTAAGCCACTTCTTAGCCACCCATTATCTAAGCCTTTGATATCCGTCTATATGTCCAATAAAATAAACTATAAACTATGTAAAAAAATAAACTATAGATATAACCTAAAACTAAAATAACCTATATGCTAAACAAACAAACAACAAATATATATATTTATATATTTCTGTGACAAAAGTATTGCGTAATCAAAACCAATTTCTTATTTAGCAGTATCGGATTTTTTTTCGGAAAAGGTACATATTCTGCATATGAATTTATAATATAATTTTAGTTTATTGCATCTAATGATTCAATTTTAAAAACTAATTAAGATCTATAATAAATTTTTTGATTAATTAAAAATTTCTGAAACCTAATATTTATTATTTAATACCTTAAAGTTTTTCAATAACTGAATAGATAATCAATCATTTTAGGAATTTTCCAAATTTGGTAATTTCCCGGACTGAAATTAGTTAATATCCGCGCCACTTTTGACCGGTTTTTACTTTTTACCGGGTTTTTCTTACATACATCTATGTCTAACTATCACTTATTTAATATTATAAATATAAGTGAATTGCGCACAAAATAATTTTTTTTTTTTTTTTAAAAAAAAAATGAGGATACTCAATTCAGCGAAAACAAAATTTTTATTAATTTTTGTGAACATATTATGTTCATATATATTCTACACAACAGCAGTAATAAGAGAATTTTCACATAAAGAAGAAATAGATCATGGAAAAGTATTACCTTGTATATGGGATTCAAAAGCATATGATGATGGTACAATGGTAATAAGAATAATTAGAAAAAATGCAACATCAATTAATAATTATCTTTGTTTCTATGAAATGTTTTCATTAAGAATTATTAATCTTGACGGAACAGTGGTAGAAAAGAATTTAAAGTTAGATATTCAACCACTTAATTATTGTGTTTTTCAAATGATCAGTGGTGGTGTATGGATGGAATTTTTGAGATATTTTTTAATCAAAAAGGATCAAATTTTAATTACTTATTATAATGCAACAGATGTTAATGATCCTTCTACATATGTCGAATGGGGAATGGTAATGGATTTTGATGGTAATATAGCAAGTCGATCATCTATTGGAAACCCATTTATTGATAATAATTTACAATTAGCTATACCGTTACGGAATTATCAAATAGTACTTAATATTAATAGAGAAAAAGGATTTATGAGATATGTTAGAAATAATAAAACAAACCATGTGGACTGGAAACAATTTAGAATTGAACCTGATGGAGCAATTACAGAGTTAACTTCTGGAGGACTTGTTCTTTATGGTGAAGTAGGTGTATTTATAGGTATACATACAATTGATGAAAGTTACGCTTTTATTTTCTCAAATAGTACTTTAAATGCAACTAACCCATTATCACCAAAAGGTCAAGTATCCATTTTACCTATTGGGTATAATCAAAATCCTAGTTCCTCTTTATTAATTTATCAAACTACTACTCCAAATTTAGTTTTTACTTTTTTGTTTTGCGATATCGCATTTTTGGAAGTTGGCCATGTTTGTATTTTAACTGTTATCATACAAGAGGATGTTACTATGACATCTGGACCTTTATATTATATTAAAATTAATTTCTTATCTTCTGGTTCTGTTTTATCTTTTCAATCTCAAGTTAATGATTTGACTTTACCTGTCGAAAATCCAAATGTGGATTGGAGTGTAAATAGTTTAATATTTGGTGGTTACCTTTTAACAGGTACTATCCCTACTCCTACTAGGCCAAATATTTGTGGATATTTATTTAATGATTATAATTCTGCTCCTATTCCTTGGGAATTTCCCGAACGTGAACCTATAGGAATAAGAGGTGTATATCAAATATTACATAATAATACTCTTTTAGTTTCTCAATTGGAAACAGATAATTCTTGGCGATTTCAAGTAATTGATTTACCAAAAGTTGTTGGAAATAAGGATAAAGGTTATTTTAATGTCAAAGTGGAATCAACTTATCCTGCCATTAATTCTACAATAAGACCAGATATACAAAATGTTAAAATTAATTTTTATGATCCAATAGAATTATCTGATGGTAATTTAACTATTTATCAATTAATTGATAATCAACCTTATTTACGTCAATACATTACTAAATCATCATGTACGGTAAGTATTGATGGTAAAACCGTTATTGCAAAAATATTAGATAGTACTTTTAGTGTATTTGGTGGAATTTATTATATTAAGATGGACAATAATTTTGTTAGAGATAAGACATATAAAGAATCTCTATTAGGTATAAGAGATAATATTTGGAATTTTAATGTAAAACAAAAAGAAGTTCCTTTTGCTCATTCAATGAACGGTTTATTACGTTTGACTCCTGAAGGTACAAAATATTTTGATAGTTTACCTCAGGAAAACCGATCCAATTTCTTTAATAATTTATTAAATGATTTAGCTGATGTTATTCCTGTACCTCGTTCACGTCTTACTAGTGATGAAAAAACTCAATTAGACCTTAATGTAAATGAAAAACAGTATTTAATTTCTATTGGCGTTGAAGAAACTAGAGTTGATAATGATTATTTAAGTGTTGAGACCGTTGTTAATGATATTAATACTATGGTTAAAAGTAAAGATTTAACTTCAATTAATAATGGTCAGGCATCTAAGTACTTGGACCAATCATATGGTTTCATTCCTACACGTGAGTTTCATATGAGCAAAAAGTTTTATTTATATACGCTAATTTTATTAATTATACATATATATATTTTTTTAATATAATAATAGTGGATTTATGGAAAACATATGAGTACAAATTATTAGGCATATTTTTAATTATTGGACTTTTGATTGTTTTATTCTTTATTGCTCGAAGAAGGAATAGCAATGTAAATTATCTTAAAAAGACTTTGATTTTATAATCACATTAAATTATAATAAATATATTGATATAATTTTTCTTTTTTTAGGGTAATAATATTGCTATATTACAACTTGGTTTAATTATTTTTGATTTGGTTATTGATATTACTTTTATAAATATTAATGCTAAAGACGTTCCTGTTCTTTATTTTCCAAGGTATGATAATTTTGTAATTTTCATTTACTCTTTATTCATTAANTTCATTTTTTTTCATTTTTTTTTTGAAAGTATTGTATTTGTAACAGTACCAATAGGAATAAATACCATATTAGCTTTTTATCTTATAACACAAGAAAATAAAAGACAAAAATTTCTTGAATGGTTTATGACTCATAGAAAAGTTGCAAGCATATTTACTATATTAGCTAGTACTGATATTGAAGCATTAAGTATTTTATATTCAAATTTAGCTGGTTTTTCATCTTTTAACGCTCCTTTTTCTGATGATGCTAAATCAAAAATATTTTGGGGTGCTTGTTTAAACATTTTTATTGAAGATATTCCTCAAGTAATCATTCAGGTAGGAATTTTTTTTTAATCAATAATATTATTTAATATTATTTTAAAAGTTTTACTAATAATCTATTTCTTTTTTTTTTTCTCTTTATATTAATTATAAGATTTTATATAAACATTATACTATAACTTATGATATTATTCCTTTACTTACATTAATTTCTTCAGTTGTAAATTTAACAATAAATATAATAGGTAGATTATATCAAGTAACAATCCATTTAAGAAATTCAAAACATTCACAAGCCTAATGATAATGATATGAATGATTTGGATATATCTATTAGTATTTTGATTCAAATAGAAACATTATTAAAAAAATTATCCAATTTTTATCTGAATTATTCAGTTTAGATAAAAATCTGAAATATATCTGGATAAAAATAAGATATTATATATAAAAATTACCTTTTATAAATTGATCTTAATAAGTAAATATATAATATTTATTTGATTAAATTGATGACATTATTTAATTAACATTACAATATTAAAATTTATTTAAGCTAAATTAAATTATAATTTTATCTGGTATTATTATGAATTATGCTATAAGTTTTTTTAAAATTTGAAATTTTTTTTAGCATTTATATATAATAAATGTATTATAAAATAAAATAGTTGTTTATAACTCTTTAATCTAATTGCCCACAAGTAATGAGTTTTAATGGGTTATCCGGCACCCAATAATCCAAACATCGGCCGAAGGGATAGACAGTACGGACGTAGGATACTAATCTCATTTGGTATACTGGATGAGAGGCCCAGAGTAGGCACTAAGAGCCTTTACATAATCTTAGTCAATAGCGGTTATCCCACAACACTAATCGGTCGCAGGGCTAAACCTTACGAGCGTAGGATACCGTTTGATCCTTCTTTCTAGATGAAATTACTTAACTTATAAGCTGTTAGAGAATGAACGCGAAGGAACGCGAGAAGATAGCAATTACGAAAAAAAAAAATTTATCGAATCGTGGTTATATTATAAAATCGATCTTGTATGACTGTATCACCTGATTTATTACATAATTCACGACGACCATAGCGTCGCCTCCAAAAAATGGTAGCCGGATTATTTTGCCGGTTCTTTAGTGTTAGGGTTAGGATTAGGGTTAGGATTAGGGTAAGGGGATTAGGATTAGGATTAGGGTAAGGGATTAGGGTTAGGAATTCGTCACATAATGTCACACCCTAACGTTTCTTTAATTTTATAATTATTCTGAGGACTTAGAAAATTTTTTATACGTAAAGTACTAAATGTCACGTATTATTTATCACCTCTCAATAATATATGTAACCCGGCAAATTAGAACCGGCTACCATTTTTTGGAGGCGACGCTAGGGTGGTTCATAATTCACATTTCCGATCTCACATGCACGTGGTTAAAAAATAAAGCTTGAAAGTGAACAAACAAAAATATTCGATGTACATGTATTATTATACAAATTACAAAGGTGCGGATTTATTCTATTATAGCAATTTAATATTGTGGCATGTGATATTCTTGAACAAATCATCGTGAAAACTCTGCTATCTCATCATTTTAGCCGATTCGGTATAGTGAAAAATTTGGTATAATGCGGTAAAAATATAGACTAAATCGACAATATATATATAAATTCTAACCGCAATTTTTTTTTATTACAACTTACTCTAAAAATAATGACTGCGGTTATACACAATCACATGATACAGTGGCGTACTTACTGCTCAGAAAAAAATAAAATCTCGGCAAGAATTTTCCCGATATCGTACTGCACACATGACGATAACATATTCATTTAGAAGACGATATAGGAATTCAAAATCACGCACGTGAACAATTGTTCACTTTCGCCAAGGATCAAAAATATGTTCATTATAAAAGTAACACAATTATAATTTATTCTTATTTATTGTTTCAGAAAAAATAATAATACATGTAATAAATATACTGGTTGCTGAAAATTTTATCAATTATTTAAAACGTCCATACCAGAATGGACAGCTTCTGTGGCAGTCTCGCGTTCTGCTGACAAGCTTGTTGAATTTTGGTGTGGCAAGGGTATCCCGTTTAAATTTTGCGTTTTTTGATGGTAAACTAGGATTGCGAATCTTATCATAAAATGTGTCAAATGATTTTATAAAAACTTCCCTTATACCTAAAAATATTTCTATATCATCGACAAAGGATAGCATCTCTTTTAACGATACTGGAACAGTAGTTTGTCCAATATGGACCATAACATACATCCCATTAACAAGATTAGTCGCATAAAAGTCGACCGTATGGTCTATATAATGAAGTGTCAAAAACGTGATTAAAAAGAAATAAAAGAAATTCATAGGCAAAAAACACTTTATGTTGATTGTCTTACCGACACATTGGAAACCAATTACATTGATTTCAGCACCCCTGTCTATAGCAAAATCCACACAGTCTTTCATGAATACACCAAGTCGAATCAGATCATTACAGTTTTTATAAACATTTGCTTTTTGAGCCGGGGGGCTGACCTCTCCTATAACAGTATCAGCAACCGTTTGAAGTTGGTGTATAACCGAAACAACAAAGTCTGGTTGTTTTGTCCTTCCTTCGAATTTCCTCAACTTACTCTCATCCAATGCCGTATTTGGCCATTGAACAATATGTTTATCTGGGTCTTAAAAAATGTCTTTCATAATGTAGTCTAAATGATTAGTAATAAGCGACGTTTCACTGGGTTCGTTTCTTATTTTATCAGCGGGTAGTGTCTCTAATCCTTTTAATATAACAGAGCCGAAGTTCTTCTTCAAATTTCGATTGTTTACAAGCTCTGCAGAAAGCCAATCTATTGCATCATCACGCGAATTTTTATTTGCTTTTTTGATGGCTTTCCTAAATTTTGATTCGGATTCAGAATCCAATACTTGCTGTGTTGGAATGAGTTCTTGATGAATCTGATCAAGTAAAGGCGATCCAAAAGAATCAATCATGAGTGTTGAATGTGAATTAGGTGAGAGCATTAAAATTGATGATAAAGACAATATTTCGTGAACATTAGTTTCGACGAATAAACCCTTATCCCTTGCAAGCTTCAACGATTGATTTTGATAATATCGGAACAGCGAGGACACATTAATATCTCCCATATAAAAATCGTCAACTGAATTTTCATCTTTGAAAGTTAATCCTTGTGGAATGTCATCAATTGATAGAATGAAATCGCTTTCCTCCAGGAAAGGATTATCAATGTCAACATGTATTTTATTTTGACGTTCGGTTACCCTAGGAAGTTCAACCGTCAAATTTTTTTTCATTGGGCATGGTGTAGTGTACCTGGTATCTTGATCTGAAATATCATCAAATAAAGTGGTGCTAGGAAGTTTAACCATCGAATTTTTTTTCATTGGGCATGGTGTAGTGTACCCGGTATCTTGATCTGAAATATCATCAAATAAAGTGGTGCCAGGAAGTTCAACCGTTGAATTTTTTTTCATTGGGCATGGTGTAGTGTACCCGATATCTTGATCCGAAATATCACCAAATAAAGTGGTGCCAGACAACTCAGTACAATTATCAACATTTTCAAATGGTTGGTTTTGAGTTTCATGTGTGATGCGTGGAAAGTAATGTTCCATTTTGGTACGCTTCGTTTTCATTTGTACATAATCGCTCTAAAACATTAAAAAACGATATGATTACTAATTCTCAACTTCTGGATAAAAGTAAGAGTATATATAATATATACTTTATCTTGATTCTCTTCGTTTCCTCTCTTTTGCCCATTATTAACAAAATTTCCACCACTAATGCTCCCAGACAAAGTGGTTCCCGAAAACGTTGAATTTTGAAAGACGATTGGAAGTCCTTTACTTGAATAACGATCCTTTTCCCATTTTCTTGCCGAGTAATAATCTGGTCGAGGCTCCTAGAAAAGGATGATTAGTGATATTCTTAATTAACATGTTTTCGATTTCCTGCTGGTTTTCATCTCATCCCATCTGGTCAGCAAAAAGCCTTGAACGCCAGATAACCAAGGAAGCTATCTGTCGCCCAGTGGGTCCAGTACTGGGTCAGCAAAAAGCCTTGAACACCAGATAACCAAGAAAGCTATCTGTTGCCCCAGTGCTAGTTTGTGGCTCAGCAAAAAGCCTTGAATGATCAAGAACCAAAAAAGCCCTTGTCACGCCACTAACTTCCTACTCGTTGTATATTTCATAAAAATTTTTACTTGCCTTCCTATATCTATCGAGAAGCAGACTTGCTTTTTCCTGTCTCTTGCCTTCTTCTGAGTTAATGATCTCAAGACTTTTAAGGTATTCGTCTATACATTTGTCGAATGGATTCGTACTATACTCGTTCAAAAATCCCAAAAGATTCCATTCCGAGTATTTGCGTTCGAAGTATTCGTGCGTCCGCATGTTGAAAGAAATTCTGTATGTATTTATAAATAATATGTAAGCCACAAAAGAAGAACGAGATACCTTGGGAAAACCTTTTTTAATCAATCCGATCCGAATGTGCTAAATTTCCATAAAGGGACATTGACTCATCATGAAATCATGTGTGCGCAGTGGTGTTGTCAAATGACACTGAAATGACATTAAAATGACATCAAATGATATTAAATGACATCGATTTTACTAGAGAAATTGATAAATGTCATTTGAAAAATGGGCAAATGACATGGCAATTTAACAACAGCGGGACAAATTGTAGTGTCGATCACAGAGATCCCAGCATCAAGTTATTTCTGGTTACAGTACGAATTCCCGAAGGCCGAAATCCCGAATGGACGTTTTCCCGAAAACTTGGGCGGAGTTATCGTAATGCTGGCCAAGTTTTCGGGAAAACGTCCATTCGGGATTTCGGCCTTCGGGATAATGTCCGACAAGGCCCATATTTTACGTATTAAAGATTTTTCGATCCTTTATCGCCTGGCACGTGAACTCGATTAGATAAATTTTTTGGTACTGCACCCAATCTTACGCGTGATGATGATCAAAGATTTTCTCGGCAAAGATCCAAATAACAAGAAGAGTAATATTTCCATTTTATTTTAGAACATCTAGAGGCGGTAAAATCTATTAACATTGTGATGGCATGTCTCAAGAAGCTAGCCGAGCAATAATCTGTTCTACCTTATTATTACTTCGCTGAATATACGAGTTCGTTTGATCAAGGATATTAACGATGTAAATATTGGTAAGTTTGATTAGATTTTACTAGTTCATTTGATTTTTGCTTATATTTGCGCAAGGCAGATAAAAGGACTCACTAACTGCCTTGCCTTCTTTTTATATGATTTTTCAGGGAATTATGATGGCATCACGGAAAATCAGATCAACTCAAAGATATAATAAAAGCCTCGATCGCTAACCATATGGATCGTGCCCCTTGGATCAACAAAGGGTCTCTTTTTAGTTTGAGAATATTACGCGTCTGCAAGATGTTGCGATTAAATTTTTCTTACGCCGCACGGCAATCATCTCAACAATAATTTTCCCGAATATTATAGAATATCATACTGCAACATCTATTGGGATGCAAATACAATCTCTCAATCCCCACAACCATACTATGCGGAATATTATCATGTAAATATATTGTGCTTAATGCACCTTTGCTTTATTGATTGTAAATAAAAAGTACATTTTGAATCTTAGATCATGATACAACTTCGCTTGATACAATGATACATTGATACATGATACATGATAAAGTCTTATTACGTCTATTCTATCCACCTCCCGATACTTTCATTGTACCATCACCCTAACCTAATAGTCCGTTTCATTTGTTTGCATTCGTGATTAGTAACGAGATCCTTGGAATGGAAACTAGGTAAGTCCTGATGACAAAAAAAGTGCTAAAATCTTATGTCGCACAGCCCTACCCTTTGATCGCAAAAAATCTCTAATTTGATAGTTTTAACCAAGCTATGAACAGAGCGAATAACATTTTCCTGATATCGTACTGCGCATTTCAGGTGATCGATTTCACATATCCAGATATTCAGGAGTCAATATTTTATTAGTCTTAGACATTGCCAAGTCAATTTAAATTAGGTAATAGCTGTCATAAATTAGCCCTGTAAATAAAAAAATAAAATATCATATAATGAAGCATAAGCAAATATAGTAATGTAAAACAATGATTATGCTCACATTTAATAAAGTAAGATCCGGCTTTATATATACCTTCTAAACTTTCCTCGTTAACATGCTCTAACTTGCATAATGGGCATATTTTCTCGTTAGTAATTTCATAATAATCAAAAATTTTCACTACTAAATTCCCTATATAAAGTATATTGGTTCAATGTTTTGTTGCGAAAATAGGTGCGGTCATAAATTGGCTTATTCCTAGGAATTGGTGGACGAGATGCCGGAACCCGGCTTACATACATAAAAATTGCGAATTACTCCACTGCATGATACAGAAAATTATTATTTGGGGAAAGGGGAGGGTAGACAAAAATATGAATCATATCTTCATCGGGATTCTCAGGGAAATAAACAGAAATTAGATTTTCTGGTTGCATACGTCTTCTTTGTATACTGGTAGGATAAATTTGCTGAAGATGAAAGTTATGAGGACGGAGATGGGGTGCTAATATGGCTCTAACTCTATCCGCAATAGCAGAGACATAGTCGTTCTTGGAAACCTCGATCACAAAAATTACATTTCTATTCTGACTATTACGGAAGCGGAGGTTTAGGCTGATAATATCGTTATTGTCATTTTCAGTGATTGCCATCTTGCTTTCCTAAATACAAGACCCATAGTGAGATAAAAACTCGCTCTCATAGTTTTTATAAAAAATATTCATCGCGCAATGAAAATAAAAATTAAATTATTTTCAGAGAATTTTTTTTCCAAGATATTATCACTTCAGCATTCAAGTAACTAATAAGCAATAGGTAAATAACTTTATTTTCCTGAAAACATTTATTCACGAAAAGGTAAGTAAAAAAAAAGATTAATGTATTATAAACGACTGAGGTAAATTTAATAAAAATCAGCTAATTCAGAAATTTATCTAGAAAAGATTTCTTTATGTATTTAGTATAAAAACAATAAAATAACCAATAATTTTTCGGTGAAATGTCCATTCGGCGAAATATCCATTCGATAAAATGGCTTCGGAGAAACGGAATTCGGAGAAATGGGGTTTCGGTAAAATGGTATTTCGGCAAAACGTTCTTTCGGCGAAATATCCCTTCGGTGAAATATTCCTTCAGTGAAATGGACTTCGGTGAGAAGTCCAGATACCCATAAAACTACCTACCTAGAACATAAATAGTCCTTCGCTACATTCCAGACTAATAATAATAATGTAAATTATACTTTGTTGTTTTTGAATTTATTTTTAGTTTTTTTAAGAATACCTAAATTTAAAATAAATTAATAATTGTTTTTAAATTTACTAAAAAATAAATTAGTAATTGTTTTAAAAATAATGATTTTGCTTTATTACTTTTGAGAAGACCACATAATTTTAAATCATTTTTCTTCTTGTCACTTGAATCGTTTATGTTTAACATGATATTTTCTTTATTATTTGAATTACCGAAAACAATCAAGTAAAACGATAAAAATTATTGATGTTGTTATATATAATTAATAAAAAAATTTTTAACAATACTTACTAGAATTACTACTAGGAATGTTAAAACTATAATTGCTGTGAAATTCTTTAAAATTAAAAAAAAAAAATTTTTATTAATACATGCGTTATTGAAAATGTTACTATATATATAACACGCGAAAATTTTATTTTCTTCGAATGAGTAATATGCGCATACCTTCTTCTATTTGTTTGTTATTTATATAAGTTTTATATAAGTAAATGTTAGTATATTTTACGAATGAATCATTTTTTTCAGAAATTGATTATAATACCTCTTTCTAATGCATTCTTTGGTTCAGAATAGGTTCCAAATTGATAAATACTGCTCGTACTAGTCGTATAATATTTCCTAGATTCATAATAGTCGCTATATATCGATTTGTTATCATCATCAGAAATTATTTGTTCTTGGTTTTCATCGTAAAACCATGATGTGTTCAATTCTTCCATTTCAGCTTTTAGGAAATTAATCTTAGGCCTTTTCGTTGGGTCAGCATCCCAACATTGTTCCATTAATTCTTTATATTTTAAAGGGGTTCCTGATACTATTTTTGGTCTTGAACCATTCACTATTTTCATCACAAGATCATAATCATGACTACAATTATTAAAAGGTGGTCTTCCAGAAGAAATTTCCCACATAAGTATACCGACACTATAAATATCAGATGCAAAAGTAGTAGTTTCTTTCGCAATAAGAACTTCAGGTGCTATATAAGGAAGATTTCCATATACGCTATTAAATGGTTTACTTGCAGGTCCACAAAATCCAAGATCACCAATAAAAAATCTTTCATTGAGTTCCAAAATATTTCCGGAATGCAAGTCTCTATGGATGGCATTTTCAGAATGAATTCTATGAAGTGCATGTACTATGTCGAAAGCAATACTTATTCTTCTCTTCCATGTAATTTTAGTATGATTTTGATACAAAAAATTTCTTAAATCTATATTCATCTTATCCATTACAAGCATATAAGTCCCTGATGGATTTTTTGTCATTCCAAAACAACGAACTACATCTACCCATTTTACACTTATAGATAAATGTGATTTGCTCTGTGAATAAAAAATGAATAATTAAAAAAAAAAATTGTTTCTAAAAAAAACATTACAATAAACTTCAATTATATACCTCTTTGAACCACCTTCTATCAGCATTTTCTACGTTTAAACTTTTAAGTACGACCTCACATGTACTTCCCTTCTTTAATCGTTTTTCATCAGAATCCCAATCATAATAAAATCCACCAATAAAATCTGCTGTATAAATTTTAGAGTATCCACCTTCAGCAAAATGTTGAATATTTTGTAAACTATCATATGGAATCCATTCTATTATCTTATTTGGTCTAACAGTTTCCATTTGACATTTTCGTATTAAATCATCAATTTTATTATCGCCAGACGTCCAATTCGAAAAATTTGATTTTAAATAATTTCGAATACAACATTCACAATATGTAATCGCTACACATTCTTCTTGACAATTTTCACAAATTCTTGTCGTTCTTTCTGATCCTTCAGCAGACATAATTCTATCATAGTCAAAATCTCGGTTTAATAATTTTATAGCATGAGCTTTTTCATCATTTGTAAGAGTTTCATCATCAAGAATTGTTTGTTTTCTAAACTCATGTCGTTTCAGTAAAGTATTATGAATATTAAAATCTGTTAATCCATATGCTCTATTATATGCGATCCAAAACAATTCTTTTCGAGCATCATTTGTAAATTCCATAATGAAATTAATTTTTTCGATGATTCTATATTAGTGGTTTTATAACAGACTTAAATGTGATGCGTACACGTGATCTCGCATAATTGTTTATGATGCATTTACTGCGTCACTTAATCACTTATGATGTGATTTTTTTGATTTTTTTACAAGAAATATTTATTATATTATTATTATTATTATTATTTACCATTCCGGTTCCGTGTTTTGTTTATTATATTTGTTTTAATTGGGTTCTTTATAGGTTCTTATAGAAACGCCTATGACATAATTACGCTTATTGTTTGTAGAATGCGAATTGTAACACAATAATTCAAAAAACGCCTAATAGGCGGTTAGATTTATAAATTGATTCTTCAACTAGTAACTAAGACACAAGCGTATTAACAACCATGAACAAAAGAAATTTCATTTTTTTATTATCGATATTCCTATTAATTCTAGTATTTTATGTCGATGTTAGTACTTCGACACAGAATCATACTTCTAAAAATATTTTGATCGGTAGTTTTGTTGGAGGAAGAAGTCATGTTAACCCGATGCTAGATATAGCTGTGTTATTATACGAAAGAGGTTACAATGTGAGTATTATATAAAAGTTTCAATAAATATTGTTATTTTTAATATCACTAATTTCATCCTCAACATATCATAGATAATATTAGTAGCAACTGAAAGTCACAGTTTATCATTAGAATACCCGACTTTAAAGCATGTTCCATTAAGAGCCAGGCCTTATGATTTTTCATATATTAAAATTGTTAGAGAGTCCTTTCATAAAGAATATAATTACAAAAATCTTGCCGCACTCCATGAATTTCATATAAAATCATATAACTACGTATTTGAAGTATATAAAAATACTGCTGAAGAATTTGATGTTGACTTGTTTTTCTGCGACGCTTTGTTAAATGATGCATGCTTAGACGTTGCTAATACTCTAAAGAAACCTGTCGTTGGATATACCGTTAATCTTAATGGTAATTAGAAATTTATTTATTTATTTTTTGATAGCTTTAAAAAAAAAAGTAATAATCTATTCCTTATTTATATAGCACTAGTTACTTCAATGCATAAATCCGACCCAACGCTCAAATGTCACGTTTCGTTAGAAAATGTTTCATTTTTTGAGAGATTTAGATGCGTTATAATAGAACCTATTCGATTACTTTACTTGACATATCCTTTTATAAATAGGTTAAATGATGCAAGAAAACAAATTAATGTTGAATCCGTTTTCACGTCCGCAGGAAGATTATTAAGAACTTCTTTAGTTTTGGTCGATACTTTCTTTGGTTTTGAAGTAATTACGATAAATAAAAATTAAAATCGATTCATTTTTTTTAAAAAATTAGCTATTAATTCTTTTTATTTAAAAGGTACCACAAACTTTACCACCAAATATTCAGGTAATTATTGTTTTTTCTCTCGTATTACATACAATTTAGCAATAATATTCATTACTAATACTATTAGGAAATCGGACCGGTAATGTCAGAAGAATATCCATCACTTACACCTGAACTTGATGACTTTTTAAATGGACACAAAAGAGTTTTATATGTATCCTTTGGTACACGTTTCTTTACAACTATTGAGAATAACAATAAGCTTTTGAAAGCATTTATTGAAGCAATTGACAAAAAAATAATTGATGGTGTAATTTGGACGTTAGTTCTTACGTCAAAAGACGATTTCTCGCCCACGTTAAACCTAATTGATGGTACAGCAATTCAAACTTCTTCAATTCTAAATAACAAACATCCACACATTCATATTTCAAAATTTGGACCACAATTTTCCATACTTAACCATAATAATACAAAATTATTTTTGAGTCATGGAGGTACAATAAGTTGTCATGAATCCCTATATACTGGTACACCTATGTTGGTATTTCCTTTCGCCTATGATCAAGCTGGTAATGCTGAAAAATTAAAATTAAATGGTGTAGGATTAATATTAAGTAAATTAAATTTGGATGTTAATGATGTTATAAGTAAAATAGATTTATTATTAAAAGATGAGAATGTAAAGAAAAATGTAAAAAGATTAAAATTTTTATCCATGATTAATAGTAAAAGAAAATATCGAGCAGCTGATCTAATTGAATATACATTACATGATAGTCATAATAAGGGTACCAGTAAAGGATTTTTAAATGATTGGATTCCTAAAGCAAGATTTTTCGAAGGGGATGTTAATATTTATGTTGCTTTATTAAGTGTTATTTTTGGACTTAGACTTATTGGAATAGGCATTTAAAACTGATTTATTAATTTTTATTATTATGATGTACTGTGTATTTTTTAGTATAGTTTTTAAAATATGTATTATGCTTTTTTATTTTTATCAATTTGAATAAATTTTTTATTTTATAAAGCTCAATGATTCAAATTTCCTCAAAGTATACAAAGTATACAAAGTATACGAATTTCCAAAACTATAAGCCTATTGAAGATTTTGTTTAAAGTGGGGTTTGATATCTGAGTGTTGAGCTATTTTACCGATGCCTATTTTACTGACAAAATTGGATCTTAAAAATTGGAATCATAATTGTAATTATTATATGATTTTTATCGAAATAAAAAAATTTGCGATTTGTTCGTTAAAAAAACTAATCCATTGGAATCTATTGATCGTAAAATAATTAATTTTTATTGAAATACAAATCCTCGTCAAATACTCAAATGTGTTCTAAATTTTGTACATATGGAATTTGACTTGAAAAAATTTCTCCCCACAATCATGTGATTCTTTAACCAATCATGTTTAAAATTTATGGTGCAATAATCGTCAGTATGACTATTATCAACAAATTTGGTTAAAATCCTGTTTTTCAAAGAAAAAACTCTTGGCAAAATTTTCTTTTGCAGGACTCATTCTTCTTGAATAACCGGTTTTAGGGGATCATTTCCGTGAGCTACAATAAACAATAAGCATTTAATATATCCCGAATGAGAAATATGTTTGATGTAAGATTGTGTCATACTTTTTTTACATAAATATACGAAATAACCTGTCGTATCCAATAGCTCTATTTAAAAAAAAAAAAAAAAAAAAATTTCTTAACCAAATAAACCAAATAATTCAAATGAAGAAAAAAATCGGNTAAAAAAAAAAAAAAAAAATAATTTCTTAACCAAATAAACCAAATAATTCAAATGAAGAAAAAAATCGGACCAATCTAATATACGGAATTTAAAAAAGATGTTAAAAAATCACCAATCTTACTTCGTAGCGCCAACGTAGATTAATAGTTTTTTCACTCATATAATTTATAGGGTTAAGGTACTTTATTCTGCAGGGCGGGCTTCAACTTACCAAGTTTTTACTAGTGTATGGGAAATGAATTTAAAGTTTAGTTGGTTAGATTTTAAATAGTTTCGTTTATAATTACCTCATCACTGTCGAAGTAGATTTTTATCTCTTCTTTTGGTTTAGTTTAGTTTTTTTTATTTACTTTTTCAGTTTTGTGTTGTTTATAAAATCTTATTATATAAGCAGTTGTTGCAGTTATTTTAAATAATGAATTATTATAACTTCGTAGTGTAAATAATCCTGACGGCCATCGAGTAATAGAGGTTTTCTTATTATATATAAATTTTCTTAATTAATAATTATTTTTATTCATTTATTTGTATTTATTTATTTTAATAAAATTTGTACCATCATTTAATCCTAGTTTCAAATTTTACACGCCCGCGTCATTATTTTTGTAATTGACTCTAAGTTAAAAAATTTCACAAAGCTTTTAATATTAACGATTTCGAAATGTCAAGTCGTGCTTTTTTTTTTGTACTTTGTTTACGGAATTTGTAACCTTTTTTTCCTTTTAACGTAAAATATACAAATATATAAAATTTGGATCGATTATAAAATCAACTGAAACATAACAGTTATTATATGTTTTAATTTTTGAATAAGTTTTTACCATTTATTTGTGTTACCATTATGATAAAAATAATAAGTTATATGAAGTCGTAATAATGTTATTATGGAATAATGGGGAATTAAATAATTTAATAGAAAATGATATTAAATTAAAAAGATCAAAAAAACTATTTATTTTCTGACCGCTTTTATATATATGTAAATAAAATTTATTGTAGTAATTGTATCATATAATAACCTTTTGAAAATTAAAAACTTATAAAATAGACGTGTTTTTTTTTCTTTCTTTCGCAAAGGCGTTAGATCAACGTAAATTTACTAAGCCACTTCACGTGCAGTAGACAATTCATTTATATTGGATCCTTTGATAAAAGGAAAAAATCAATTTTCAAAAAAAAAAATAATAAATAAAAATTCTCCCGTCATTATTAATATTAAAGGTCCCATAAAAAATATAATTACGTTTTACATTCCGAAATTCTGATGAAATATATAAAATGCATGCATGGAAACTGAAGATATCTAAGTCATGTAAATTTAAGAAAATTTTTGCACAATGAAATATTGCTGTTATCGCCAATACTTTGAATGAGGTGTAATAGAGAAAATTAACCGATGAAAGCGTATAACGAATTTATGGTACCGTAGTTTGCACCGTTGACGTATGTGACTTATACAAAATTGGATTAGCTGTTATAGTGGAAATAGTAAATACATTAATTGAGACTGGTGAACAATATATAAGATTTTTTGTTAAACATTCACTAAATAATTTCGTAAGCAAATTTAGGCGTTCCTAGTTACGAACTTACGATTTATATTAAAAAAGAATAATTACTATAATTACACATAAAGAACATTCCTAATAAATTTTCTGGAAGGATAAATCCTAAATTGAGGATCATTTGACCAATCATCATTATGCTTTTGAATCTTACTATTATCCTGATTTTTAAACTTTCCGATAATATATATATATTATAATTATTTATTCATGAGTAAGTATTAAAAAAGACTCATATATAATAATATAACGCAACAAAAATAACATGAACATATAATATACATTAAAATCACATAATGAAAATATATAATGAACCCAATCAATTCTAAAGGTTTTATTATAACGGGATGCTTGAAAAAAAAACTCGCAATAATCTCTATATTTGTCACATTGTACATACGCGTAATAATAGTAATTAATAATAACTGTATTAAAATAAATAATTCATTGAATACTGAGAAAAGTATTTTTTTTCCTAAGAAAAAAACGTATTAAAAAAAACGAGGATATCCGTCATCCGTTTATCCGATCCGATCATCAACCGTCATCCGAAAAATCCGCCGGATTAGGGATATCCGAAGGATAATCGGATCGGATAAAAACAAATTTATGTATTATTGATGGACGACGTCTGAAATCTGAATGATCCATTATTCAATTATCCGAGAAATCCAATCCGTATTATCCGTTATCCGAAATATCCGAATTTTTTTGGAGGATATCCGTAATCCGACGGATAGCGGTTTAACGGAAAGAAAAATTAAAAAGAAGCTGGAGTATTTGTTTGAGTTTCACTTAAAAATATCATTAAATGTAGTGTCGTAGAGGTTATATGAAAAAATTTAGATATAAAAAGAGTGAGAATAAAGCGTCAAATTTCAAAAAATATAAATTTTCATTTTCTTACTTCGCCTACTTGAAATTATGAATTATAAAACCGAAAAATTTAATAGGATCAATAGAGCTGTATGTTAAATGAATCATATTTAATGCGGATTTTTTTTAAAAAAAATTTATTATTTTTTTTTTTTTTTTAGAGTGAAGGTATAATTCTCGAATATATGAAGGAATGGATTGATAATGGAAGGCCTAATAGGAAACCTTTTGCAATATTGAGTACAAAAATACCTCATACTCCTAAGCAAATTTGCCATCAGTAAGTTTATTACCTTTTTTTTTTTTAAAAAAAAAAGAAATTAAAGAAGTCACAATGCTAATTTTATTTTTATAAATTTAGTTGGACCAATAAGCTAGATCCTAGGCGTAAGTACTAAGTAAGTTACATCATTTTGAAAATAATAAAAAAATCTGAAAACTTTTATTTTTTTTTTTAGTCTGTTTGAGTAAAAAAACACCATTCAGCGATAATGAGAAGGAATATATTTTTAAATGGGTAAAGCAACATCTAAAGACCAGTAAAAAGAAAGTACCATGGAAGGTTTTGCAAACCAAAATCTTGGAAGAATTTGGAAAATTTCGCGCGCGAAATGATATTAAAAATTTGTGGAATCTTCATAGAAAAAAATTAGATAAACAGGCGAAAAGTTTATCATCATCATTATTATTGTTATCAATTTATTTTATGTCACAATAACATTATATACAGTTCTTTAATAAAATTTATTTGAATTTATTAATAAATGATGCTAATATATAATATACCTAATATACATAATATACGTAATATGTATATTATCCAATCATCCACGCCAACCGCCTTGTACCTTTTAAAAGCGTATGATTTTCAGTATCGGAAAGTTACCACTTTTTATTATCTGCATTCCATATTGCACCTTCAAATTGAACGCCTAACGTATTTTTTGTAAAGTAGTAAATAGTCTACCTACGACTTTTATTCATGCTTGGTATCCGGCGGTTACAACGCATAGAATATTCTGCGATTTGCATGAACCAGTGACGTATTATTGCCACCCACGTGGTTCAAAAAAACTGATAAACTTGTAGACTCATCATTGGTGAAACTTTCCTTTTATATCTTCCATCATGATAATAATAACCTCCATCATATCAACTGTATTCATTATAACCAGGGTTGGGAAAATATGGTGTACGAGGTAAAATTTCAGTACAGTACAGTACAGTTAGTACATTGTACTTAAAATTTTAAATACCATATATTTAATAAAGTTACTTCAAATTCTAATTCTGTCAATATTGATTCATTTATGATAAAATAAATACTATTAAATTCCTTTCATTGAGATGAATCTAATGAGCTTAATTTTATTGAAATCTAATCACTGGACCACTTAAAACCAGGGTATATATGATTAAAAATACCTCTGTAATTTATATAAAAAAATGTACTTGTACTAAAAAAACTCAGTACAGTACAGTACTGTACGTACTGTACTAACTGTACTGGTACAGTACAGTACATTTCCCAACCCTGATTATAACCATCATCATCAGAATCATCTGGCATCTCTTCCTTAGAATCATTATTGTGGCTAGAGCCACCATCACTAAATACCTGAGGAATATAGCTAATCAATCATTAATCTGTTTTTGGGATAAAGTTGATAAGATCTAGTATTACATTCTTTATTCCGATTTTTTTTTTTGCAATAGGGGCTTATCAGCCAGCCAATATACCACTGCTTCATTTATAACATATCAGTTAAAAGAAGGAGGTCATGTCGAACCTACAGTATTTTGACGATTTATAGCAGTTTATAGCAGTTTGTATCAAGTATATTACAAAATATTGGATCATTTAAAAAAAATATAGTTTTATGATTTTCCATGCTAAAGTTTTTTCTGCCTTTTAATTTAATTAGATAGACATGTGTTAGTAACATATGATGAATATTAAAAACTAGGAAATTTTATAATAAAAATTTTAGAAATTTCATTTCAACCTGTGATAATGGTTTATAAACTGACTAATTATAGTAACTATGGTTGTTTTAATGTGGCAAATCCAACCCGAAATTCGCCTTGATCAAAAATGCTGTATACGTTCTTTAAGAATGGAATGCCAATAATCCATGCTGTGTCCGATCCTGAAGGATTTTGAAAAAAGAATACTTTTAAAAACCATTTTTTATTAAACATTTTTGATTATAAATATATTAGACAAATAGTATAGATACCAGTATCGATTCCCTGAATAGATCCAAAGCAATTCTCTCCTTCTTTGAGTACAAAATCTCTATGATCCATATTCCAAGTCATACCGCTGAATCTCAGACTAATTACAATATTGGTTTCACAAGGTATTGAGTAGAACCCCTTATCTAGCGCTACGGACTTGGGAATTTTACCATAAAGTGTCTTTGCATCGGCAGGTGGCATAATTATGCTTGCAGACCCAGTATCGATTGATCCAATACGATCTTGAAAACCTAATGGTTGGTCACTGACAAAGCAGTCATCGAGAGGAATCTTCCACAAACCATGATTATCATCCACTAGATTTGTCCAGGTAAGTGAATTAGCATCGTATCTTGCTGGATTACTCCCGCCGATTGTTAATTCGCTTGGCGTATTATCTGCATCTCTTCCAAGCATAAAAGAGAATTGTGGTTGATCGAGTTCCTGGCTATTTATAAGGTTCGTGACTGGTGTGAGTTGTCCGTTTTCGCTTGCTGAGCTAAGTGCCATCCCCATTATACCCGAAAATGTGAGATCGGCAAAATTATCGGAAATCGTGTCAACAAGTCCGAAATCTTGTGTTTCCACCGAAAGACTCCCGATTTTGATATCGGTCGTGGCACGAGATCCTTTTGCAAATGCACTGCTAACGTATTCGACATAGAAAGGTAGGTCGATAGCTTTGTAAGATTCATCAAGGTATGAATTATATTTAAGTTTACGACTGCACGCAGGTGAATCACATTCATCACCTATAACAAACAAATCGGCCGATCCCGTGTCGAATAGCACATTAAGCTCTTGTGGTTCTCCCGTGCCGAAAGTAATTTCTCCAAAATAAGAAAGGTCCGGTCGATCTTGGTCTAATGTTATTAGTTCGTTTGCTCGCCTGGAAACATTATATGCCCAGCGACGAGTGATTGGTTTTATCTTTAGCGGAATTGTATGCACTTTAGGCCGTTCATAAGGTAATGCATCAACAAATAGAAAAACTGTTATTGCTAACGTAAATATATGCAAAGCGTGCATGATATCTTCTTATACGAGTGATTATATTCACAAAAAAGAAATTGCGTTCTAGCTTCACTTACTCCACTCACACATTTATATATTTCGAGAATGCTAAAACATTCTAACTCGAATAAGGTTTAAAGTAAATTAATTCAATGAGAAAAAATAAGATCATCAAATTAGGCGTTAGATCGTCACTATGAAAATTTTTTTTTTTTTTTTTTTTTTTCACTATGAAAATTAATTGAATTTCTTTATAAGATCATCACTAATTTGAGTTATCGAATTCGTAATGACAACAAATCCTTTCAACTGTCAAAGAATATAGAACCGTAATTTATAATTCGTAACACATTAGTGCATGCGACCACATGGTTATAATAAACTAATCAGAAGAAAAAACCAGTCTAACTTTCGCGACTGAAAGTCTCAGCTCCATCGAGTTGGGCCATTTCTTTCTGCCAACGACTATAACTACCAGTGGTAATTCAGTTGAGATGAAGCAATAAAATCTCTCTCTAGACAATATAAAAGAATTACACGTTTTTTTTACATGAGAAATTTAGCGAGTGAAATAAGTGAAATATATGACTTGCTTTCAAGGGATGTAATGCGAAACTCTGCGTCATATTGTTTCTCTAATATTAATGCTATCCTATAGATCGAAAATCTGGAAAGTTCTCTTGAGGAACTTGGCTAAAATCAAAATTTTTTATATGGTTTATATGAAATGGAATTATATAGAAATGAAGTGTAATAAAGTTGCGAAGAAATGTTGGTGAGAATTGCTGTCTAGTTTATTTCGGAAATCTGATAGCAAAGAAAAAAATTGTTAATGCGCTGTCTCAATAATTCAAGCTCTGATGACATGTTCAAAATAAAAAAATCACGTGCACGTTATTTGTAATGCCAAGAAAAAATTTTATTAATACATGCAAAAATAAATACAAAGTTCGGGACGTAGCCCATGATACATGACGATTTTTTTTCTATGCTAATGTTTATACATACGATTATTTTTTCGAAAAAGATAAGACTATCTTATTTATTTTCTGTTTTTACCCGTTTCAATGATTCCTTCGATTCTATCTGGCGATCACATAAACGTCAACTCCAAAAATGAACATGATCAATGCCATATGGCACGATGATCTTGATTTGCGTGTCGAGATTCTGTTGATCATAGTGCATATCAATTATTTTAATTCGGAAAATACTTCGCTCGAAGTTGAGGAAGAAGGCCTTAGAAAGAATATTATAAAAAATTTCGCGAAATATGCCATCTAGACATGTTTTAGCATGTGAACAATTTGATACAGTACATTTATTTGATCAATGATTAAGTAAACGTTCTGTTTACTTACTGTTGGTTCGTGAGAAGGACGATTTGGTAAAAAAGCAAAATTGTAGCAAGGCGACAAAGAACTCGATGAATTAACTACTTGTGACACGCAACTTAAAGTTAGATCAACGTAATTGCTGTATTTAATAATTCTTTATTTGTTGTTTGCAATCTGTCTCGTCGTATGAATGATTAAAAAATACGGAATACGTTTAGTTATATTTTAATAAACGCAAACAATTTACGGTTGCGACCGCAAATAAAGTTTTTTTCATAAAGCGAATCAAATCATAAACAATTTACGTGGCAACAAATTTACCTAAATCTAAAAATAATCGAAGAACTAAAATAAACGAAACTTCGAATGGATTTAGTGAAAATTATAATGGAAGAAACGATTCTAATTGGAATAATAATAATTAATTTTATAAGAATTTTTTTTTTTCGTAACAGGTGCGAATCATTTTTGAATTCAACATTTCCATAATTCAAAAAATTTTCAAAACATAGTATTAGATTAAAGCTTTAGATAATAGTTAGTTTATGTTCATATTTTAAACGTCTTTGTGATGTTTCTTCGAGAATTTTACGGAGAGATAGTCAGTGATCATTCTCTCTGCGTGATCTTTGGTTTAAATCAGTTGTTAATTTGCCTCCTCACCTCAAAAGACCGCGCAGATATTGGTTATTTACGTATCCAAATCCTATTATCCTAAATAAAAAAGCAATGTAATGTTTATTTTATATAGAAGAATTTTTATACTTACCAAATGCTTTGGTGTATCAGATTCTGTGTTGTTGGTCGTGGATCAAAAAAAAAATAAATAAAATAATTATAAATTTAAAGAATGGAATCATGGTTTCTTGTTTCTAAAAGACCCAGCAATTTTTATTATAATTACTTATTTTTAATTTTAGCAAAGTGAAACTCATACAATAGTACAAACTGTAAAAACACTAATTCATAAAATAGAATCTATAACTAATTGTAAGGCCGCAAAGACAACCGTTTATATCATTAAAAAATCATGGTTTAAGTTAGGATCTGAAAACATCACAACTTTATAGTTGCGTTCTTTGCGACTTTGGTACCCAATAGCGTTCTAGCATCTTTTGATTTTCATCATTTTATTGCTATTCCCTTCAAGCTCTCAACTGGTTACTTTTAAAAGACTTCGTTTAAATCATTTAATAAAGGCAACTGATCTATTTTTTTGATGGGATGATCCAGTGATCCACGTCGATAACAAAAATTTCGAAAAGGTTGATTCATCTTTCAATAGCATTTTCGTGTAAAATTTGTTTGTCGTTTCATGTAATATACCAAATCCTAATAAATATCAAAATACGAGCGAACAATTTCGATAAAAAAAAAAGGATTACCAACGCGATTAATGATGATGGCAGAATGATGATGGAAAATCAGTAGTAAGATAAATGATAAATTTTTATTGAGAAAAAAAGGAATCTTTGAAATAAATAAATAAAACTAAATAAAATAAATGAATACATGAAATAAAAGCTAATATAATATAATATAATAATCGTGGAGCATAAAAAGAAAAAGAATAAACCAAATAAAGTTTAGAATTTATTATTTCTAAATATTCCAAATAATCCAAATAGACCATTTGAGGTATTCACAAAGTAATTAAATGCTCGTAATGATCTATTTGGAATATTTACATGTGATTAAATAATAAATATAATCGAACCTATTAATGGACATCTGCCATTATTTAATAAAAATAAAAGGTTTAATTTTAGATTTTTTTTTTTCGAAAAATAATCAAATAAAACAATATTAATTAATTATACCTGATTCCATTAGACCCATTAGATTGGATCCATTAGATCTATTAGATCACTAGATCCATTAGATTCATTAGATCCATTATATTTATTAGATCCGTTAGATTCATTAGATCCATTGGATCCATTAGATTCATTAGTCCATTGGACTTATTGGATCCATTAGATTCATTAATCCATTAATATGGAATAATGTTATATGAAATTCTAACAAATTTCATATCTTTTATGTTCTACATGATTGGAACGGCTACTCATAATGAATCTTTTTTTTTTTTTTTTCTCATTAGAATTATCTGAATTATTTGAAAATTATGTGGAAAGAAAAAATTTTTTCCATTAACGTTTGGACAATATTTATACCTAAATAAAAAAAAAGAACCCACATATGGAATAAAGTTTCAGTATGCTGAAAAAGATGATGATTTACCTAAATAATTATTTTTCAAGGAGTACCTGCATTGATTTCTTGTGATAAACTATATCTGATATTGTGTCATAAACCTTAAAAATGATTGGTTGATATGATATGAAATCACATTATTGTGGGCAAATGCTCCCCTTGTTGGTTTTGCGATACCAGAAAAAAAGTTTAAAATTTCATGTTTTACAACTGATGATATTGAAGAGCTTCGAGATATAATTACGCTACTTACACTTTAAATAAATCATATATGTATGTTTTTTTTATTAGTTGCTCCAGAAAAAAAGAAAAAAGCGACAAAATTAAAATTTCATACTCTAATTAAAGAGCTTCATGATATAATTTCTAATGAGTTTGGTCATTGGTTGTGACTCATGATTGGAAAGATTATGGAAAATCATATTATATGTCACAAGATAATACCTACAGAAGAAAATGAGTGGGAGAAGCACAAATTTCGAGAGAAGAAACGTTTTAGAAAACCCAACTAAATTCTTGCAGAAGAAAATCCGGTTTTGAAAGACCAAATAATTTTTTCGCGAATCAATACAGAAGAAAAATCATATAATTGTGAATAGTTAGGTTACGGAAAAAAAATTTTTCCACTTAGGTAGTTATAGAACTTATGGAATTATGGAAAAAGATATTAAATTTAAGAGACTAAAATATATAAATTAAAATATCAATAGGATTTATCGTTCCGAAAGTTTATATTCTCCGCCTAATAACGTTCTAGAAATTTCTGAACAAAAAATAGATATTAGCTCTGCAAGCTTCCTCGCAAATGTGAAAAAATATATTTCATTCATACCTTAATTGCGAACGGACTTCATCGTCATCACTTCTTTCAAACCGGTTTCTTCAAATTGTGTAAATCTTTGTGTTCTTACTGACTAGTCAAATACGATCAATCGTACGACCACTCATACAGCAGAAAAATTACGTAGGTGAGGTACAAAAAACTCGATAAAATCAGTAAATCAATAAATCAATAAATTTACAATCTTTTATAATTTGATTAGAAACCAAATTTCTCTCTAATAAAACTTCTACAACTGTAAGGATGTTCAGAATCATTGTAACCCGCAACTTACATCGTCCCATTTATAGTCGTCCAGTTTGTTCAAAATTTCTAATTTCGAAGCCTCCTGGTGGTGCGTTTTCCATATAACTTTGTTTTATTATGATTTTATAATATTCATTTTTTTTTCATTTTCTATTTAGAATTAAGAAACACTTCTTCTATTGGTACTACCACTGGTCCTAGCAATAAATCGCCATCTGATAGTACGTATATGACCTTTTATTTTGTTATCTGTTGTGTTTTTATAATGTTCATCGTTTTACTTGTCTATTATATAACTTTGTTTTATTATGATTTTATTATAATGTTCATTTTTTTTTTCATTTTCTATCTAGAACTAGAAGATACTTCTTCTATTGGTACTACCACTGATCCTAGCAATAAATCACCATCTGGTGGTACGTATATGACCTTTTATTTTGTCATCTGTTGTGTTTTTATAACGTTCATCGTTTTACTTGTCTATTTAGAGTCCAGAAGATATATTTCTTCTGGATCTTCTCTTATCGATGAAAGGGTTTTAGAGTCCCTTAAATGGGACTTTTACTTTGAAAGAATTAATCTTGCATGATATCGATAAACGTCGAACTGAGTATATTGAAAATATGTTCACCAAGTTCCAGAACAAAATACTTTTCGCTTTTATTGGTGCCACTATGTCAATAATTTTTACCGTAATTGGTTCTAGCAAATGGTATGTTGATCGAGCTAGTGAAAAGATCGATGATGTCAAATCGATCTTGAATCTTAACGAGACTGGTAAAGAGATCATCGATGACATCAGAATACTCTTGGATAAAAATGAGAACAAGACTGATAAAAACGAGAACGAGACTGATAAAAAGAAAAAGAAGTAATCTCTTTTTATATCAATTGCTTAGCTTATACGAATACTCTTGGATAAGAATGAGAAAAAGACTGACAAAAACGAGAATGAGACTGATAAAAAGAAAAAGAAGTAATCTCTTTTTATATCAAATTGCTTAGCTTATACTAAAAAGTTTAACATGAAATCAGAATATAATTTCCTTTTTTTCTATATTTTCTTTTGCGATTGATTTATTTACAAAAACATATAATAAAGAACTGTTGCATTAAAATTTAAAATATGTGCATCAAGAGACTAGTAGATGACTAGCTAAGTAATCTTAGCCATAGGTCTGGCATTTTACTGTTTGGGTGAGTTAACCTTCTCGGATTACATTTTCAATTAAAAGTTCACATGATTCCTTTACCTGAAACTTTACAAGAAAGAATGTGATACAACACGTAAAAAAATAAATAGTCAGAAACTTTGCGCGTGATACATGATGAAGTTACGTTTCTATCCCATTAGCCTATCTATTCCTCCACGAGATTGCTCAATGACTTTACTCTTTCATTCCCCACGATCCTCCCTAACTTTCATCGGCTTTTGTGCCTCGTCCAGTAATCATATAATATGACCAAAGACTTTCTCCACCTTGTCTTTCATATCTTTATAACAAATAAGGAGTTCGATAACTTGAATGACGGTTTCCCTTCACTGTCTAGCTTACATAAAATACCATTTTTCTGTGTTTGCAAGGACAATCTGAACGGCGATTGTGCAAAACTTCATTTTTTTTCGTACAGTAAGCTTGATCGTGACATTTTGTATGGATGACAACACTCCAAATAAAAAAGTCAAGTGTCCGTTCCAATTTGGAACGCAGATCACTTTTGCCAAGAAAATTTTTATTAAAAAATGCGAAAAATAAATACAAGATCGGGACGTAGCCCGTGATACATATTATTTTTTGATAAATTTTTTGATCCTAGCCCTCTTACTAGTTGGGGAACTATCTACACTAACCCTATCCTTTAACAGCCCAACAATTATACCTATTACCCTTTTCACGTTGTTTCGAAGTAACTCGGGATTTTCTTTGACGGCGGATTTCGTGAGATTAATCTGGTACTCAATGCCACTTGTACAGTAAATACCATCCGGAGTATATATAATAAAGTACCACTCCGTGCCTGTGGTCACGATACCATAGATGTAGTCAAAATAGTCGTTCCCAAACGCTCGATCCGCAGTCCGTTTCTTTTTATTTGTCTGAAACGCGCTTTCAAGCTGTGCCAGATTCTAAGAGATAAAATGCGTTAATATTATTAAATCTCTTTCGGCTTGGCACTCTAAAAACACGAATCAAGTATAAGACTACCTGAGCATATCCAATCTTAATATTACGAGGCTTTCCTTCGGCGATACATAGGAGGTCTTCTAAACTTTTGATCGCATAGTCTAATCGGCCTGTTGCATCCTCACCAGAAATATCTTTCTGTAAAACTATGAATATATCTTGAGAGGTGAATTTTTTGGCGATGGCAATTGATGCATGTAATATAGCTGAAATAAATTCACAGCGCGTCGCCTCGTTAGCATCGGTCATGGACTAACTTTGTTATGACATTTTTCGAATATTGATCGTGATCGATGATCTTGAATCGATTTTAAGAATTTCGATTTATCCGGTTATTGAGAACGAAGCGCGCAACCAGGAATTAATGCTTTTTAAACTGTATGATCTTTGTACAGTAAGTAGTAATGATAAAATTTTAATTCCAACCGGAATTAAAATCGCAGTAAAAAAATTTTGATCCTATTGTTCGCTTGACATATCACAAATTTACAATCAATTATCACATATCAATGTAGTTGTGCTAAAGAGGATCAAAAAACAAAGACAGGTATATGATATTAATCGGAAACGTAGATGTAAATGGCAACCGTTACTTATAATTTAGTCGTCAATAATCTTCAATATTAATTAAAATATTTTTATTTATTTATTTAAATACTTTTTGCAGATAAAAAAAGAAAAATAACAATATAAAGTTGAAGATATTCGTCATTTTGATATTGTGTATATGTAATCATCCTGCCTATTTGTCTTTGTTTAATTTTTTAGTATCCTGTTTTATAAAATAATTTTTTTTTAGAAAATAAATTCTTATAATCATATGATATTGCGAGATAAATCACATAATTTACCGGACTTCGAGAGATAGATAAACATTCCTTATGATGACGTAAGGAATGAAGGGATTGACTAAACGCCCATCGTAAAGCATTTAGAAAAAACTATGTTCCTACATCAATGTATTGCTCTCTCTTTCAAACAAGGTATGTGATGCGTTAATTTTTCGAACTTGAAAGTTCTTTATTTCCGGTTCTATGATTATCTCTTATTTTAAGATTTCTTATAGTTGTTTCAACTGCGTGATGGTTCCTTCCAGAAAGGCCTCTACGTAGATCATCAGGAGATCTAAGGTCTATTTGAACGAGTGAACCACCTTCATAGAAAGCGGTAGCGCTTAGATCTAAGTTAATCATCATTTTTCCTCTCGTGAGACGCGCAGATTGGTAATATCCTTGCCAGACTTCAGCACCTCCAGTGTTAGGTAGGGCTCCCTGCGAAGTACAAAAGGATCTACCTAAACTAGCATGTACTTGTGACGTGACGTCCAGCGCCATTATTGCTTATTACACGAATGATTATATGCTTGCCCAACCTTCTTATTCTTATTCTAAATTCTCGTGGGGGACGTTGACCGTGCTTTCTTCTAGTTGCACCTAATTTGTTAAATATAATTTAATAAACTTTTTTTTTTTCAAAAGTCAAGAAAAGTAAAAAAAATAAAGATATTTACGTTGAAAGTAGCAGCATCTCCAAATGCCGATAATTCGTGGGCGAAAATATTTTTAATTTTTCCCTGCAAACCATTTGTTATTAGTTAGTGTCCATTTTCATTCTTTTTAAATACAAGCATATATTTAGATATTATATAACATTGATAATTCATAAATAAAAAGAATTATATAATACAGTTTTGATAACTTCTTGAAGTTATATTGTAAAATACATAGTAACATTTCACTTCGTATTATTCAATATTGGTATATTTTTAATGAAAAATTATTTTTTTTTTACGTACCATCAAATATCTTCATATTTAATCGCAGAGTAGTCTTGTCTCCTGGCATTGAAATGACTACAAAATAATTTTTCACGGTCTTCCTTCACAACCAACACCTGGTCTTTTTACGAACTGAGTGATTCCATTTTTAAAGAAAGAATAAATGTAATAAAAAGAATTTTTTTTTTCTTTTTTTTTTCTGGAAGCTTGGGCAAAAATAAATAAAATGATTTGTTGATAAAAAGCGGTAATAGTCACGAGTGATTGATTGTCAGATATGGAAGTTGAAAATGTATATTTATTTACTTATACAAGTTTTTTCCGGAATAACTTGGAATATAATATATATATATATTTTGCATGTATTAACGACCAAATCATATTGGGCTTAAAACCTCATGAAAAAAAGTATTGTTATTGTTTTCTAATTTGGTAAATCTTTTTACAAAAACAGTTAATATTAACACTTTAGTTTATGTAAACTTGGTAGGTTAAACAAAACTAAATAAAAGAATTTATCCATAAATGCCAATAGCACAAATAACTATCCAATTATCACTTTTGATAATAATCACACCCGATCCAGATTCCAGTTAACATATAATTATTGAAAGATTCTAGTGACTCAATGACTCCTTACTTGCAAATTGAACCATATAATCAAATCAATTGATTAAATTTGAAAAAACTTACATAATTTTACGTAAACGAGACTAATGAAAGACGCCAACGAAGTAGAAATAGCTAAAAAGACAAAGAATCATGAGGAGGGTAAAATATCAAATTATTTAGTAATTCATGAATTGTATTACTTACTATATACTATTTATTGTATCACTTTAACCGTTATTATGGTTATTGTGACATACAGTATGAAAATCATATGCAGTATTTATTAAATGAATTTTTATAATATGAGAACATATTTTAAAAGTATTAAATTTATGCACCTTGTTGAATTAAAGTATATATAAGATTTCTGGATGGAATTTGCGATATTAATACATTTAATTTTTCAATACAAACATAAATTTGTTTCGCATAAATGAACTTTTTTGTCATTATATCAAAAATTAATTGTTAAGAAAAGCGTCCTGGCTAAAAAACCGGTCTTTTTGGGACCCTGGAGGATCAGTGATAGAGATCCTCATCTTCGGATATTATTCCCCTTAATAATATATTCGCATATTTTATCCCAATATTTGTATGACTCGAAGAACGTTACGATAAAAAAATTTTTTATTAAAAAAAAATGATTTCAAAAATTGGGATATTCAAATTTGTCACATTGATTAATTTTTCCTTATTAATTTAAGTCGAAAAAAATTCTAAATAAAGATGACGGATAACAATTTCTCGAATGTAATAATATATTTTAATATATTTATTATTTTCAAAAATATTTCTTATCTCCTGCAGGAAAAAAAGTTTCATAATATACTGTAAAAAGATATATATATGTTGGAGTAGCTATATAATTCTTTACATTTTAAAACAACCTGCTTTGCCATGCATACCTATATCACTATTATCAAACATTGTATACTCTAAATCGTGTTTTATTATCTAAAAATGATAAATATTTGAAGAATCTATTTTAAAAGAGATGAAGATATTAGAAAAGTTGAAAGTTATTTCAAATTTAAAAAGAACGAAAGTTTCAAGATAAAGGGAAAACAAATGTCAAAAGAAAAAAAAGTCGGAGATCAGGGATATGCATCCGCTAATTGAAAATTTTATTCGTTAGGGAATACAGGCAAACCTTTATATAACGATATGTCGGGACATATATGAAATTTTTAGAAAATATCGTTATATCAAAGATATACCGATATTTATATGTCCTCACATATAGTGGGAAAATAAAAATTTATCGGTATATCAAGTTTTTAATAGTATATCGGTATATCGAATATCGGTATATCGAGGTTAGACTGTACGCGATTCTTTGCTATTCTTTGTTAATGCAATAAAAATTCGTTTATAGCAAATAAAAAATAAAATTATCCTAATTCTTGAAATAATAATAAAGAACATTACTGATAAAAAAAATTGTTTTAACCTATATTGAATGTTAAAGTATTATGCATTTTTTTAGATTTATGTGAACCGGTGGTCACTCGGTAAAGGTTTAGCTTGTCACATCGCGTGATTGATCAATGAAAATATAGCATTTTTACATTGTATCATTCATTATTTGGACCATGCTGTTGCTTTTGTGTAACAGCGTGCCTGTGATATATTAATAAATTTCAGGGAATTCTTATCTGTTATTATGATAGTTCTTGTTTTTATATTCTGGCTGTCTGGCATACCGGTATTTTTCTTCTAAATAGCGCGGTAATTATGTATCCATAGATTTTATAAAAAAAATACAAGCCGCATCAGCCGCGTTCTAACCCGTCTACGCTTCCCATTTCTCAAAACCACCCAAAACTTCTTAACAATTTTTCTTTTAAAGCCTGTTGCGTGTATTTTACGTATTAAAATTTTCTTCATAATTTTCTTAGTCAAATCTCATAAATACGAAGCTTGTATTAAAGAATGAACATTATTTTAGTTTGTGGCTTTTTGTAAGGTATATTTAGCGTTAAATAAACAATAAACATTATTTTATCTTTAACGTTAATATATACTCTTTAATAATCACGTAATGAAGTCAAGTTCAAGCTCTAGTAATCTTTCTCTTCCTATCCAAATACCTTCTTCACCAAATATTCATTGTAAAGTATGCCTTCGCTCACTTCGTTCAGAACATGGCTTATATTTACATCTCAGGGCTCTCAACAAACACAATAGCCTAAAGAACGTGTAGAAGTGTTTACAGATGTTTTTTTCGAGGGAATTTGGGAAGGAATTAAATTATATTTTTAATGTCGATAAATGGTCAAAAAATACCACGACTAAGGAAAAAGTAAAACATATATAGTTCTACTTGATCAACCAAGTGAGATTTGTGAACATGTTGGGCGTGAAACTAATCCTTTAGTTGCACTTGCTAATCTTGTTACAAAAGAGGGGAAGTTGTTATTGAATGGAAAGAAAAAAAGGAATTCATTACTATGAATTTTTTATATTGAGCTTAGAAAACTAGATATGAGTTAATTGGAATTTATACATATTTAAAATTCCATGTCAGAATTTTAATACTTATAAATAAAAAGGAATATTACAAGATAATTAATTCATAAAGTAATTTGTTTTTCAAGCTGCCTTTCTAAATTATAGCCAAATAACGGAAAGTACATAAGTACATAGGATAAACTAGGTTTATATGAATTTATCTAGTAAAGTTTCAAAATATAAAATAATTTTCTAAATTTTTTAAACTAATTTTGATTTAAAAATTATTAATAGTTTTAAAAGGTAACTTTACTTTTTTCCAGCTCAAGTTTATCAAATTAGATTAATTATTGATAAGCATAACAGTTATCACGTGATATTTAACCAATAAGATACTCTACACATCACATTATCAATTAGACATGTGATCGAGCAATCATCGATCACGCAGTATTAATTCTTAAATTTTAAGTCAAGTTCAGTCTTTATAAAAACAAAAATCTATAATCTTTAAATCTACCAAAAACTAAAACCTAATAAAAAAGAAACACTTGATAGACTAAAAACGCGATAAGCGTAAGTAATTCAGTTTATTAATACCTTTATTGTCTTTCTCAGCTTGAAAAGGGTAAGGTCTTAGTATAACTAATTTCTAATTTCAAAAGATTTACGATTCTCTGTGTACATATAGACAAAGCCACCGCAACCACCACAACCAGACTTTAACGTTTTAAACCAAAACATAACTCTTCTCACCCAAGTAGTGGGAAATATCTCCCAATAATTAACTAATTTGCAAAATATTCCCGTCCTTAGTTCTGGAGCTCAGCTTAATACAATACAAACAACACTGAATGCCGTTCGACGTAATCAACAAACTGATCAAATAACCCTAAGAAACATGCAAACAACATTAAATACCATTCAGCGTAATCGGCAGGCAGATCAAGCATTACTAAGAAATATACAAACAATTTACGTCGAGTGCGAGCCTCTATTAACGCAATGCCCAATAACTCTCAGGCATTGTGTGTCTTTTTTGATATTTAATTAACTTTTGCCAAAACAACTAAATGGATATTTTTATTTTTTTTATATTTTAGAAAAACTCAATCTACTTAGCGAGTCAATTCAAGCATACAGAGTGTTAGAGAATTTTCCGCTTCCAAATTTAAATAACCGATTTCCAGCAAATTTTCATCAACTGGTCTTGGGCTTCTTAGGTTAACCGGTCAGTATACTAGTCAAAATTGTTTGTTTCTTTTACGAAATTAATCTTTTTTTTTTTTTACTATATAAAGGAATCGATAATTGATAGGCTCTTAACGTTCTATAACTCACCAACGACCGGGAGCGTTTTAGCTCGATGGGAGCGGTTGAGTAAATTCTTAGGTCTAAAAATAATTTAATTAATTTAGCAATTATGGCATTCTGTGTTAATTTTAAATAGTATAATTTTTTTTCGACTGCTTCTTATCCTTCTTATCGGATCTA